TTTTTTTGCGTCCCCCGTGGCCTCCCTGAAGACCAGGGTCATCCAGCAGTTGGAGGACGTGTCCAAGCCGCCTGCCTACGCCTACCCTGCTACCCCCAGCTCCCACCCCACCAGCCCGCCACCCCCCTCCCCGCTGCCCACCCCGGGTATCACCCGCAAGGAAGAGTCCCCCGAGAATGTGTTCAAGAAGGAAGACTTGGAGATGTAGAAGGAAGCCCCATTATCTTCCAGACCTTGTTCTCAGATATGCCGCCCAGGTACCCGTTCCAAACCTTGCCACCGCACTACACCAGGCCCTACCTTTTCCTGGGGCAGCCCTTTTTTTTTACCAATGCGGATGGCCTGGCCCCTGATGTGCTTTTTTTTTCTGATGGGCCCAGGTGCCTGACACTCTGGTCTTTTTTTTTGCCCATCCGCCTATCCCCCTCCAAGATCCCATTTTTTTTTCGGGAGGGCCCGGAGGAAGAGCCTCTGGCCAAGCGGGAGGCAAAGTGGAGATGGAGGACATGGACGAGCACTTTTTTTTTCTGCCACCTCTGGAGTTGCCGCTGCCACTGCTTTTTTTTTAAACCATGGCTACCCTGAGCCCTGCAGGCGGTTTTTTTTTTGGCCTGTTGGAGGCCCAGGCGCCGAGTGCCTTTTTTTTTGGCTTCACCAAGCCCTCCAAGTGCCCAGACTTTTTTTTTTCCTGAAGCACGCCTGGATTCCCCGAGTCGGATTTTTTTTTGCATGGCCGCCCTGGACCTGGGATGGCAGCTGACACAGACGCTGGTGGAGGCCAAGGAGGAGCCGGTGGAGGTGCCCGTGGCGGTGCCCGCGGCGGAGGCAGCGCCGGAGGTTTTTTTTTCCCAGGCGGCCCCGAGCGAGCCTCAGCCCTGTTTTTTTTTGTCAGACTGTGACGTGCCCGCCGGGGAGGGATTTTTTTTTAGACTGGAGCCCCAGGAGGCCGTGCCTGTGCTTTTTTTTTCCTGATTACCTGGAAGAGGCAAGCTCTGAGCTTTTTTTTTCCAGCCTGGAAGACCCACTGGCTGGCATGAATTTTTTTTTGGCAGCCGTGGAGCTGCCCCAGGCCAGGCCTCTGCCCTCCCCAGGTGCTGCTGGAGTCCAGGCCTTGGAGAAGCTGGAAGCTGCAGAGAGCCTTGTCTTGGAGAAGAGCTTTCTGCATGGCATCACCCTGCTGAGCGAGATCGCAGAGCTGAAACTGGAGAGGAGAAACCAGAAGGTGGGAGGTGCGGAGCTTTTTTTTTTGGCACGACCCTCACTGGAGAGCCTGCTGGCTTTTTTTTTCCACATGCTGAGGGAGGTGCTGGATGGGCCATTTTTTTTTCCCGCTCAAGAACCTGCGGCTCCCACGGGAGTTTTTTTTTACAAGAAGTACATCTGGATGCACAAGGAGGATTTTTTTTTGTACCCCATAAAGTCTTCCTTGGAGGACATGTTTTTTTTTGAGCTGGACTTCCAGATGCGGCCGGCCGAGGTTTTTTTTTAGTACAAGGAGAAGTAGCGCGAGCTGGTGAAGCTGCGGCGGCGCCGGGACTCCGAGGACAGGCACGAGGAGTCCCATGGAAGCTTGGCACGCAGGCCACGGAAACAGACCTTTTTTTTTTAGCGCCCTGTCGCCCCCTGCAAGAGGGAGAATTTTTTTTTCAGTAGCGGAAAGCCGAGCAGCAAGTCTCTGTTTTTTTTTGATGACTATGAGCTGGGAGCAGGAATAAGGATTTTTTTTTAAGGGCCCGAGGAGGAACACAATGCCCTCACTGGAATGGGGAAAGCCAGGGGGAGGAACCAGACTTGGTATGCGAGGCCTCGTCTGACTTCGTAAGTCAAATAAAGATTAATTTTTTTTTGATGGCCAGCGACCAGGAACAGTTGGCAGGCTTTTTTTTTAAAGGCCCTGTCCTTCACCAAGCAGGACAAGTTTTTTTTTCCCTTCAAGTTTTCGGACAGTGCTGGGGGCATTTTTTTTTCTGGCCGGGCCTGCAGCAGGTACTTAACTCCTTTTTTTTTCCTGCTGGGCAAGGACAGGAAGGTGCTGGCCTTTTTTTTTGACCTGTCTCTGAAATCTTCCAGAGAAGGTATTTTTTTTTGGACCACCAAAGCCAGGAGGATAGGGGTGGGTTTTTTTTTCAGAGGCCAGCCCAAGTCGGCCCATTCCGCGTTTTTTTTTGAAGTAAGCAGCTACTCTTACAATACAATACTTTTTTTTTGGAAGAGGAAGAATTCCTGAAGGAGAGTGGCTTTTTTTTTGCCCCTCCAGCTAGATCCAAACTGACGCCTTTTTTTTTTTGTCGCATGGTGGCAAAGAATAGCAAGGCAGCTTTTTTTTTCTAGCTGACCAAGAGGGCCTGGCGCCCCTCTTTTTTTTTTAAGCCGGCCACCAGCAGGACGCGGCCATTTTTTTTTTTTTTTCGAGAGGCTGAGGCGCATTCCTCCTTCAGTTTTTTTTTGGAGGACTCATTTGACTAAGGTTACTAGCTCTTTTTTTTTAATACTTTACGTGTTTCCTAGTGAGAGAGTGTTTTTTTTTGAGCGAGAGGGAAGCGAGTGGGCACACGGGAGAGATGGTGGGTGAGGAGGCCCGTGCGGATGGCCGCAGGAAGGCCACCATCTGGATTCTTGGCAGTGTAGCCTGCTGTATTTTTTTTTTTATTTTTATTTTTTCTTTGATTTGTACTGTATTTTTTTTTTACTATTGCTGGCTAGCTCTTTCTGAGCTGTTATATGGACTGCTTCTGAGTCTGCATTTTTCTCCACTTTCTTTTTTTTTTGCCCTCCTCCCCCTACCCCGAGTTCCCCCCTTTTTTTTTTACTCACCTTTTCTGTCCACCCAGAGACCCCTTTTTTTTTTGGGGCTCTCTTTGGGCATGGGCCCAGTGGGGGCTTCCTGAGAAACATTTTATATATTGAATTCTGTCATGTGGGCGTGTGACTTGATGTTTGTACTGCGATTTTGGTAATTTTTTTTTTTAAAACATTGAGTTCATTTTTAACAACAACATTTTTTTTTTGGAGGTGATAGAAATGGTTGCAAATTCCTGTTTTTTTTTTATTGATAAAGAGGTCAAAGGCTCACAAAGGTTTTTTTTTTAAAGCCTCTGTTTTAGTATACTCATGTAACTGTTTACCCAGATCAAAAATAGAACATACTAGCAACACGGTTTTTTTTTTTGTGCCCCTTTCGTGTCACTGTCCATCCAATTTTTTTTTATACGTCTCCAGACTTCTAAAAGCGTAGATTTTTTTTTTTTTCTTTTGAACTTGATACAAATGGAATCTCATTTTTTTTTCTCTTTTCTGTTTTTGTATTTTTTTTTTTTTTTTTTTTTTATTATGATTGTAAGATTTAAACACATTGTTCTTTTTTTTTCTGCAAAATAGTTGATTATGTGATGATATTGTTTTTTTTTCATTCTGTGCATGAGCATTGGAGTGGTTACTTTTTTTTTTTTAATAGTGTCACTATTAATATTCTAGCACATTTTTTTTTGTAAAAAAATAAAATTATATAGATATAGCATTTTTTTTTTCACACACACATATATATATGCTTTTTTTGGGTTTTTTTTTCTTAGTAGCAGAATTTGAGAATCATAAGAATGTTTAGTCAGTAGATACTGCCAGACAGATTTCCAGAACAGTTTTTTTTTCTGATACTCCAACCAGCAGTATATAAGAGTTTTTTTTTTTCCGTATCTTTACCAACACTCGATGCTGTTTGTCAGCTTTTTCTTTATCCTTTAACTATGCGAAAGGAAAACTTTTTTTTTGGACCCCAAACTCACTTTGCCAAAGGGAAAATTTTTTTTTGGAAACTGAGGCTTGTAAAAAGCTGCCTTTCTTTTTTTTTTTAGACACATAGCTGCAAGAAAGAAGGCCTCATGTCTCCCAAGGGGGCCTCCCTCACCCTGACAATGTAAATTAACAGCTCTTCACAGGTACAAGACCACCGAAGACTAGAAATCACCCCCACCTACTCCCCCCGCACCCTAAGATAAGGTTTTTTTTTTCATCTTCCTCTACTGTATGTTTAGTTTATCTTTTTTTTTTTGCAGATTTACTGAGCGCCAGACAAATACATTTTTTTTTTTTCCCTCTACCCCACCTTTTTGCACAACATGTTTTTTTTTCCCTCTTTTTTTTCCTTCCCTCTTTCTTCCCTTTTTTTTTCCTTTTCTCCTTTAAATATTGAAGCCCTAAAAACCCTCCCTGGAAAAAGTGCAAGCCACATAGCCTACTGTTTTTTTTTTCTCTTTCCCAGGCATTTCCTCAACCTTGGCATTTTTTTTTTCTAAACTGATTGAGACCTGTCTCAGATACTTTTTTTTTTTCCAAATATATTTAACTATTGCAGTCACTGCTTTTTTTTTTTAAGCTTTAGACTTTAAGCGGGGTTTCTTTTTTTTTTTTTTGCATCCCTAAGAGATATAAAATCTTACATTTTTTTTTTCTGCCTTCAGATAGACTGGTTTGGCTTTTGATTTTTTTTTTTTGGGGGTACTAGGGAGCTTGAAGAGATGGCTAGCTCACAGTGTCTGCCATCAGGAGATACACAGCATGCTTTTTTTTTCCAGATGGACAAATGCTCTTGAACCTACTGGTTTTTTTTTGGGAGCCTCACACAGGGTTGGAGGTTTCTTCTTTTTTTTTAGTCTAATGGTTAGCCTTAGACCTTTCTGCTTTTTTTTTTGATTCTTTCTTTGAAGCATTTGTTCATACACTTTTTTTTTTATTTAGCGCTTCTTGACAAAATCGATGACTTTTTTTTTTTACATTTGACTCTGAAATTTAATTCAACTGCTTTTTTTTTTGAGAATTTCCAGATATTTATTTCTAATTGCTTTTTTTTTTTGAAACAGTAACTAAAGGTGTACTGTAGGATTTTTTTTTTATGAAAGGTCATTTCTTTCATGTGTCAAGAGTGTGTTGCAGGCATTCTGCTGACAGGATATTGTGTGCTGTTTTTTTTTTTTTCAGACACACCAATATTGCTCCTTTCCATTTTTTTTTAACTATCCGGGCAGATTTGATTGAACAGATGTTTTTTTTTCAGAGACTGAAAGTGATCCAGACACTGGAGGTTTTTTTTTAACGCAACGTGGTAAGTCCTTTGAGAAGTAGCAGGCAGCCTTTGTTGTCTTCCTTCTTCACACTCCTGCTGTTTTTTTTTTCTGCCTGACAGAACTGAAAACAATTTGAAATTTTTTTTTTAGGGATCTTTCCAGCGTGACACTTTTTGAGTTTTTTTTTTTCATTGTGCTTAATATTTTTATAGGTACGATTTTTTTTTACAGAAACTTCCTTTACCATTGATGAGCTGGAAGAACTTTATGCTCTTTTCAAGGTGAGTTTCAAAGTAAATTTTTTTTTATTCAGAGGAGTAAAGGAGTTCACCTTAATATTTTTTTTTGTTCTTGATTTTTCTGTTAAATTAAGGGATATTTTTTTTTGGAAGCTAGAGCTGAGAGTGCAAAACTCGAGTACTTAATATGAAAATAAACATTCTTATAACCAATTTAAGTTTTTTTTTTAGTTCCCTTGCACTCCTTATAATATTCTAGTTTTTTTTTTGAACCTAAAAAAAAGTTATTGCTTCATAATTTTTTTTTTAAACAATGGTGATCAAGTTTAAATTCTGCTTTTTTTTTTTCAAATTATGATTTCCTGTGTTAAGCTGTAAATTTTTTTTTGTGTAGTTAGAATAAAGTTGTTTAAATGCCCTTTTTTTTTCATAATTGGTTAAATTTCCGTGATTTTCCTTTTTTTTTTTCGCCTCTATCAATCTTGATTTTTTTTTTTTTTTTTTTTTTGGCAGAGTCTATCTCTCACTCTGTTGCCCAGTTTTTTTTTGGATTACAGGCACACACCACCACACCCAACTTTTTTTTTTATTTTTCTTTTGTCTTTCTTTTTTTTTTTTTTTTTTTTTTGTAGAGACAGGGTTTCACCATGTTGGTCAAGTTTTTTTTTAACTCCTGACCTCCACCTCAACCTCCCAAAGTTTTTTTTTTACAGGTGTGAGCCACCACACTTGGCCCCAATTTTTTTTTTTAATAAGAAAGTAAAGTATTATGGTCATAATTTTTTTTTAGTACAATTTTTTCTTTTGGAAAAAAAATATTTTTTTTTTAGGTATCATCAGCATCAGAGGTTAAAATGTGTTTTTTTTTAGGAAAAAAAGTTTAAAATATGCCTTTTATGTTTTTTTTTATTTCATCACAGTTTCTAATTACCGTCAGAATTTTTTTTTGCTGTTTTGAGAATTGCAAAGATAGTACAGGTTTTTTTTTAAACGAACATAAAAACCAGAGTTGAACACTGTTTTTTTTTTTCTTACAGTCAGAAAATGTGGTTGCTTAGGACTGCTCTTGCTGGTGTCGCCCACTGCCTGTTCGCCACTGTTTTTTTTTACCGTTTTATTTATGTTGGTGTCACCAGTGCTTTTTTTTTTGCACTAGTACTAATACTAGAGTCTCTGCCTTTTTTTTTTTTCCAAACATGTGTGTTGAATTAATAGATAATTTTTTTTTCAGTTCTCAATATAACACAGTCCCTGCATTCTTCTGATGAGGAAACCGAAGCCCAGAAAGATGGAGGCACTTTTTTTTTTCAGGCTGCTTGGTGGTGCGCTTGCTGCAGCATTTTTTTTTTCAACAGAGTGGACAGTGGCGCACCCGCCAGTTTTTTTTTAGCACTTGAGGGTGCAGTCTCTGTGGTGTGCTTTTTTTTTAATATTTTATTCGTACATGTTAAGCACCTGTTTTTTTTTTGCTACGTGTTAAGCACCTGTAGCTAATTGTTTTTTTTTTTAGTTGGAGATTCTTAAGGCAGGAGAAAACAATTTTTTTTTTGAGATCAGGTTTTTAAGGGATGCTGAGGGCTTTTTTTTTTCACAGGGCATGGGGGCAGGGCCAGGATTCTTTTTTTTTTCTAAATGGAAGTGGAAGTAGCAGCTGGAGGCTTTTTTTTTCTGGACAGGTAAGAGAAAGGACTGTGACAGCTTTTTTTTTAGGCTGACTCGGGGAAAAGGAGGAGGACCGGTTTTTTTTTTACAGAAGTCCCGGATCTGGAAGTCATTGAATTTTTTTTTTTTTTTTTTTTTTTTCTTCTTCTTCTTTGAGTTTTTTTTTCGTTCTGTCGCCCAGGCTAGAATGCAGTGGCTTTTTTTTTACTCACTGCAGCCTCTGCCTCCAGGTTTCAATTTTTTTTTCTGCCTCGGGCTCCCGAGTAACTGGGATTCCTTTTTTTTTCCACCACATCCGGCTAATTTTTGTATTTTTATTTTTTTTTGGATTTCACCATATTGGCCAGGCTGGTCTCGTTTTTTTTTCCTTGTGATCTGCCTACCTTGGCCTCCCAAATTTTTTTTTTTACAGGCATGAGCCACCAAACTCGGCCGAAGCCACGTCTTAACCTGGGCACTGCTGCGCTCTCTGGTCTGTTTTTTTTTAGATAACAACTGTGTCATTTGAACCCTGAGATTTTTTTTTGGAAAGCACTTTTCTTATACTCAAAACCCTCTCCTAAAGGTGTGTTGACAACAGAAGTTCCCCAGCTCTGTTTTTTTTTTAGAAGAACCTGAGATTTGGTTGGTGTCACGGATGGGACAGAGTCTCTTCTACTAAAGAATCCAATATAAAATTTTTTTTTTGGACACTTTATGGAATCATTGTAACACTTTTTTTTTTTTTCATTCATTTTCTCAAACATTTATTGAGTCATTTTTTTTTGTTAGTCACCCTGTCAGACTTTTTAGTACTTAAAAAGCCAATTTCTAGAGCCAGGTACAGTAGCTCATGTCTTTTTTTTTAGGTACTTGGGAGGCTGAGGTGGGAGGGAGGTTTTTTTTTGCCCAGGAGTTCTAGACCAGCCTGGGCAACATTTTTTTTTCCATCACTAAAAAATATATATTTTTAACATTTTTTTTTTTTGGTGGCACACATTTGTAGCACAGAGGCTGACTGACTTAGGAGGATCACTTGAGCCCAGGAGGTCGAGACTTTTTTTTTTCAGGATCACACCACTGCACTCCAGCCTGGGCTTTTTTTTTAGACCCTGTCCTTAAATTTTTTTTAAGAAAGTTTTTTTTTGAGTATTTTTTTGGAGATACAAAGGATTGATTTTTTTTTTCTCCCAAGGAGCTGACTACACAGGCTTTTGGTTTTTTTTTGAGGAGAAAAGGTTAAAGAATGCACCCTAAGTTTTTTTTTATGGAAAATGTGGTTCAGGGGCCCTTTGCCCTGGTTTCTCTTGAACTCTTTCCAAATTAGCCCTTCTGTTTTTTTTTTTTGGCCCATAGTCCCCAAATGATGGTCTGTGGGTTCTCACCAAGGAACAAGGGAGATGATCTGAAGGGCATGTTTTTTTTTTATGGTTGTGAGCACCATGAAAGTGCCTGCACTTTTTTTTTGGCCAGGTTCAGAGCAACTTGAGATGCTTAGTTTTTTTTTAATGCTTTGGGTAACCTTTGTCAACCAATGTTTTTTTTTTTAAGGGGTTCCTTCCCGGAGTATATCACCAACACCATGCTGCCCACAGAGAGGCTGCTGGGCTCCACTAATTTTTTTTTTGAGTACAGCTTAACCCAGCAGGCCACTCTGATTTTTTTTTCTGCCTTCCTGCCTCTAACACACACTGCCTCTTTTTTTTTGCCAGGAATGCAGTCCCAGGAATGCAGTCCCTTTTTTTTTCGGAACTTTGACACAGTTTCCTTTATTCTCTTTTTTTTTTCTTGCAAAAAACCTGACTGGTTCTCCTCACCTTTTTTTTTTCCTCCTCTCTTCCCTACTCCCACTCCTCTTTTTTTTTTTTTCACTACAATTCCCAATAAACAATTGTGAATTTTTTTTTATCTTCTCTGCTCCTTTTCTAAGGGAGAGCATTTTTTTTTTACAACATACTCACAATTGACTCTCCTCTTTTTTTTTTTTCTGCGGAAAAGAGAAAGATTTTCAAAAGTGTTTTTTTTTTCCTTCTTTTTATTATTATTTTTTTAAGACAGTTTTTTTTTTGTCCAGGCTACAGTGCAGTGGCACCATCCCGGATCGCTGCAGACTTGACCTCATGGGCTCAAGCTATCCTTTTTTTTTTGCCTCCCAAGTAGCTGGGACTACAGGCACGTTTTTTTTTTCCCAGCTACTTTTTACACTTTTTTTTTTTTTTTTTTTTTTTTGTAGAGACAGAGTCTCAGTATGTTGCCCATTTTTTTTTCAAATTCCTGGGCTCAAGCGATCCTCCCCCGTTTTTTTTTAGTGCTGGGATTATAGGAATGAGCCACTGCATTTTTTTTTAGGTGTTTTTTTTTTTTTTCTATTACCATATTTTTTTTTTCTTATAGTGAAATATTCAGGCAATACAATAATTTTTTTTTAAAAACAAAGTCCTCCTTTTTGTGCTCCTCCTTTTTTTTTCACCTGCCACCCAGAGTTAACTATAAATGCTGTGTGGGTTGAGGGCGTTCTTTCAGAACTTTCTAGTGCATTTTTTTTTTTGTGGTCTTCCTAAAAGGAGTGGATATTTCTTTTTTTTTTACCATGACCTCATGAATAAAGAGGCTGCCTTTTTTTTTTTGGCAGCAACAGGAAGCCCTTTGCTGGGTCCGGATCTCTCTTCTGCTCGCCGGAGTGGTTCCTATGCTGATATTTTTTTTTGAGCTATTTACAGAGGTGTGAAATTGGATGATTTTTTTTTTGTAGGTTGAATACTGTGTGACTGTGATCTTTTTTTTTTTATTTTGGTGAGCAGGGAAGCAGGGGGTTATGTTTTTTTTTTGGGACATTACAGCGGGCATTAGGAAACCCATTTTTTTTTCATGATTCTGCTTTAACTAACTGGGTGGTTGTTTTTTTTTGAGCCACATAAAGTCTGGACTTTACTATTGTTTTTTTTTTAACAAGGTGATCACATTACCTAAATTCCTGTTTTTTTTTTGTAGCATTCTATTTAAGCTAAAAAATTTCTTTTTTTTTTTGGGAGTTAGTTCTAAAATGTATGCAAGTGTGTTTTTTTTTAGAGAATGTGGTGGTGGGGGAGTTCCTTTCTTTTTTTTTTTACACCCAATAATTGCAGACCTTCCAGGTGTTTTTTTTTTAAATGGTTGGTGTGGAGGCGGTGAAGGGCTGGTCAAGTGGAGGCAAGTGTAGAACTTAGAGACTGAGGGGGTTTTTTTTTTACAGCCCTGCCCCAGGGGATGCACACAGATTTTTTTTTTGCCCTTTCCAAACAGGAGGACGGCCTTTTCTTTCTGGTATTTGCTGCAAAAGAAGATCCCCAGTGACCATCTTTTTTTTTTCAGGCAGAACATCTCACCAGCTGCTACTGGTTTTTTTTTAGCAACGCGCTGGACCGGCATGACCCCAGCCTGCCCTACCTCGAACAGTATCGCATTGACTTCGAGCAGTTTTTTTTTTTGTTTGCTCTTCTCTTTCCTTGGGCATGTGGATTTTTTTTTGACGTTCTGGCCTCCCGCTTGTTCCAGTTATTTTTTTTTTATGGAGACTCTTTGATTAACTTCCGGGAGTTTTTTTTTTTGCTAAGTAAGGACGCGGTACTATTGCATGAGTTGGGATGGGATGATGGAGCTGTGCCCAGTGTCGCCCATGTTTTTTTTTGGGCTACAGAAGCACAAGGGGAAGTTTGCAATTTTTTTTTAAAATGTGTTTTTCACGAACATCGTATATGGATAAATTGTTGCCTCTACATCAGACAGCCCTCAACACTAGTTTTTTTTTCATTATTAGAGAAGTCACAAGACAATGAAATTTTTTTTTTATCACTGAAACCACAGACTGAGATAGTTTTATTTTTTTTTAATGTTTGGGTTGGTGGATTACTTTTATTTGTTTTTTTTTAACCCAGAATATTTTATTGAATATATTATATTTTTTTTTTTAAAACATCTATTTCATAATAAATTTTATATTTTTTTTTTTAAAACATTATGAAATGTTTTTAATAAAGTATTTTTTTTTCAGCCCTGCAGCCTAAATGGAAGTCTTTTCTTTTTTTTTTGCTGGGAGGAGGGACCTTCCAGCAGGAGCAGTTTTTTTTTCATCCCACACCTCACCACAGCATGAGGGCAGCTACCCATCAGCTCCCTGTCTGGCTTGCTCACTGCCCTACTTTTTTTTTCCTTTTTGGACTCTTGTTCCTTTTATAACTGTTTTTTTTTGCTGCATGGTAGTGGAGCCTGGCCCACCTGATTTTTTTTTGAGAGTATAGCAGGCATTATGCCAGAATGAGTTTTTTTTTATTTTTTTTTAATTCTAATTGTGCTACTCTATTTTTTTTTGCCATATGCTTTAAAAAGAAGTACCCAAGGAAGGAGAAAATGTCAGGCATAGAGCCAGCATTTCTAAAGAATTTTTTTTTTCTGTAAGAGTTGTAGCTAGAAGACGTAAAGTTTTTTTTTAGCTGATGGTTTTTTATTTAAAAAGGCAAGGTTTTTTTTTAAGGTTCTTTGATGTTAAAACAAAAACTGTGTTTTTTTTTCATCTATACGCCTAAAAGAGGAGACGTGGGAGAACTCAACGTATTTAGAGTGCAGATACTGTTGTGATACTTTTTTTTTTTTACTATATTAATCCAAACAGCAGCTCTTAGTTTTTTTTTTGATAGTGATAACTGACATTTATACAGCATTTTTTTTTTTCCTGGCACTACCCTAATGCTTTTTATGTGCATTTTTTTTTTGCATTTAATTTGTCTAAGGGCATGCAACTATTTTTTTTTTGTTTGATACCAAGTACCCAAGAGGCACAGTTTGTGCTGTTACTCTTATGCTTCATTACCTACCTGCTTGCTTTTTTTTTCTCCATATTTAACTAAAGAAATAGATGCTCAGAAAAGTTAAAGTAACTTGTTGGAACATTAATTTTTAGCATTTTTTTTTATATCTGTTATTGAACTGAATTGAGAGGCACTTTTTTTTTATGCTGGACCCAGGATTCAGCCAAGGGCTATTTTTTTTTTAAGCTTATCCTTTTCTCACTACTCTGTACTGTTTTTTTTTAAAGGGCATTTTTTAGGAAGAAGGAGGCAGTATTAATTTTTAATTACACAAGTGATATATAAGTACAGTGTTTTTTTTTTAAAAATGGCACAAATCAGATAATGCTAAAGATTTTTTTTTCCCTATGCTAATCTTTTTTACTTCCAAGGTATTTTTTTTTTGTCATATAGGTATCCATCAAAAGAGATATTTTTTTTTTTAATACCTTTGGGCAAAAATAAAGAGGAGAAATTTTTTTTTGGTTCTACATGTAGAAAGTGACAGAAATAAATTTTTTTTTTTAATTTACTTCAATTTAGTCAACTCCAGTATTTTTTTTTCTTTTTAAAATCTTCGAGAAGGAAAAAGCAGTTTTTTTTTCAGCATAGAGAAAGCAATGGAAAAGAATATTTTTTTTTTTAAATGCAGTTGAGTTCCTGGGCAAAGTAAACTTTTTTTTTCATTAGTGGGAGAACTCTCAGATGTGAGAGATTTTTTTTTGTTGTCAGTTACTTTGGTCAGTTATAGTTATTTTTTTTTTCAAGTCAAGGAGAAATTAGAAATTCTGTCTGTGTTTAAAGGAACTAAAGAATGGGCCGGGCCCTGTGGCTCTTTTTTTTTATCCCAGCACTTCAGGAGGCCGAGGTGGGCGTTTTTTTTTAGGTCAGGAGTTCAAGACCGTCCTGGCCAACATGGTGAAACCCTGTCTCTACTGAAAATACAAAAATTAGTCAGGCGTGGTGGCAGGTCCCTATAATCCCAGCTACTCAGGTTTTTTTTTCGCGAGAATCACTTGAACCTGGGAGGCAGAGTTTTTTTTTAGCTGACATCGTGCCACAGCACTCCAGCCTATTTTTTTTTGTAAGACACCATCTCAAAAAAAAAAAAAAAGTTTTTTTTTAAAATGAATTCTGAAAAACATGTATAAGTAATTTTTTTTTAATCCCTGGAGAGATCTCTCTAGAAATTACTGAACAGATAGATGGTCCTTGTGGAATTAGAAACGAGGGGTTTTTTTTTTAGGCGGGCGGATCACGATGTCAGGAGATCGATTTTTTTTTGGCTAACACGGTGAAACCCATCTCTACTAAATTTTTTTTTAATTAGCTGGGCGTACTGGCAGGCACCTGTATTTTTTTTTAATTGGGAGGCTGAGGCAGGAGAATTGCTTGAACCCGGAAGGTGGAGGTTGCAGTGAGCCGAGATCGCGCCTTTTTTTTTCAGCCTGGGTGACAGAGCAAGACTCCCATCTTTTTTTTTTAAACAAAAAAGAAATGAGTTTCTGTCAGAAGTTTTTTTTTAGCTGTATCTCTTTTTCCAACAGTGTGGCTGTTTTTTTTTGTCTATAAACATAGCATAATGAGTTGTGATGTTTTTTTTTATTGGATAAATAATTCATTATCAATGGAAAATTTTTTTTTATATGGAAATTGGTGATTGTGTAACTGGCTGAACACTGCACCCAAAAGTGGGATGGGTAATAAGTTCATTTCAACTGAGAGAGCATTCACTAGTACTGTTGGGCCCAGTATTTTTTTTTTTTGTGCTTGCATCCTTATTTGCACGATAGAGTTAACCATCAAAACTAAATGAAACAATTCAAGTAAAGTTCTTTTTTTTTTGTCTGGCTAAAAAAATGTCGGTTATGATTGTTTTTTTTTTTATTACTCATTCTCCTCTACCACACTCAGCAGACACCTCGAACCATGAAGGCAGAGAACACTTACTTACTTTTTTTTTTGGGCCACATGAAGGCAGAAGAGAGAGCCAATATGTTAGGTGACCAAAGTAGGTTTTTAAAAATTATGATAGTTTTTTTTTGTAACTGAACTCAGGTTTGGCTGTTCACCGCTTTTTTTTTAAACTCAGGAGATGAGAGTTTTTTGGGTGGGTTTTTTTTTAGGTTTATTCTGAGAGCCAGCAAATTGCAAATTTTTTTTTCTAGCATCCTAAACTACCATCTTAAGTCAGTTTTTTTTTTAGGCTCTTTTTGTGTTAAGGGCAGGGAAATAAGCAGCAGTTGGGATCAAGAGGTGACAGACAGCACAGACATCTGGGCATCTGCAGGGGTCCGAGAAGGTTGGGAACTTCTTTGTCTTCAGTCAGATTATAATGTTACTATGAATCTTTAATTTTTTTTTTTTTTGCATACTTCTTCAGTTTCAGAGTTAATTTTTTTTTACTACATGATTGCTATTTTAGCATATTATCTTTTTTTTTTAAAATTATCCTAGCCTACATGCAGGTAAAGGTCCCTTAAACAAAACTTGAATTAGTTATGTTCTTTTGCTGTTTTTTTTTTGCAAAATGATTGGCAGAAAAAAAAATTTTGTTTTTTTTTAATATAAGTTCTACATTTAAAGAAATAATTGTTTTTTTTTTAGCTAGGATGTCTGCATGTAGTATAATAATTTTTTTTTTCATGGAATCTAGAGTCAGACAAATCCATGTTTTTTTTTTTGACCTGTCACTTACTTATGACCTTGAACAAATTTTTTTTTCTCAATAAGCCCAATTTTTCTTATCTGTAAATTTTTTTTTATAATTGTGCCCATTTTATAGAATTGTTATGTTTTTTTTTTGGGATTATACATATGAAGTAATTGGCACAGTTTTTTTTTCAGAGTGGATGGTTAATGTCTGTCATTATTTTTTTTTTTTGTTTTATTAATCATGCAAACATCTGGGGGTTTTTTTTTTTATGTGGTCATTAAGAGTGTGAACAGTTGAATTTTTTTTTTGGCTATACTAATGGAAGAGTCAGGAACAGTTCCCCTATTTCCTGGAGTGGCCAAGAGGCTTCTGAACTCATTTTTTTTTTATATTGATTGAGAAATTAACACATAAGGTAGTTTTTTTTTATAATAGGGAAGGATATACATATCACATCAGATGAGAAAATTGGAAAAATGGGAGAGATCTAATCTGAGAATTTTTTTTTGCCTCAAAAAGATAAGCTTAACAAAGACAGGACAGCTGTTCTTAAAATCTGAAGGATTGTTGTGTGGAAGATTTTTTTTTCTCATTCTGTTTGGCTTTAAAGAGTGGGATATTTTTTTTTGGAGTAGTTCTAAACCATTTTTGAGTCATGGGCTCTTTGAGATCTGATAAAGACTATGGACATTTTCTTTCTTTTTTTTTACATATGCACATAAATAAAATTTTGCATTTTTTTTTTTTTATGGACTTCATAAAGTTGAGACTACAGGTTTTAAGGGTCATTAGACTAAAAATTACAGAAGAACTTTCAGTTTTTTTTTTATACAGCTTGGAATTGAATGCCTCTGGTTGTTTTTTTTTTCCCATCTTTGAGAATGTTTCAGCAGATGCTGGAGTCCTGTCTCACAGGGGTGTGTGAGAGGAGATCCTACATTTTTTTTTAGGTCGGACAAGATAACCCCTAAGGTCCCTTTTTTTTTTTATTCTATGATTCCTATTTTCTTCTTTTTCTATTTTTTTTTTATCTTTAGGCACTCTGAGAATATATATTTATTTTTTTTTTTCTGGTTCTAACAATAAATATGGACTTTGATTTTTTTTTCAACAGAATTCTTCTGATTGAAGCTATGGTGATATAATGACGGATAGGTTCAGATAAATTAAGGAAATACTTTTTTTTTTCAAAACAATTAAAAAGGATTTCTGGAATGAGTTTTTTTTTGTGATACCAAACACATCTTGAAATTCTTTCTTTTTTTTTTATAGTTATTTAAGATGTTGTGGCCCAATCACATGACCTTTCTCATTGCTAAAGCTAGTTTATTAGGTGCCATTTTTTTTTCTAGATGCTTTATATGTTTTAACACTTTTAGTTTTTTTTTTTCATGGAGTCCTGACATCAAGATCACTGGTTTTTTTTTTTAGTATCATCTCACCTTACAGAGGGGAAACCTTTTTTTTTAGAGTTTAACTCTCCCAAGAGTACATAGTACATGCAGAGGATTTGAAACCAACCATCCTGGTTCCTGAGCTTTTTTTTTTAATAGGTCCTGGCCAGGCCTTTCACCATGCATTTTTTTTTTTGCAATGTGTATGAAGTAGACTTTTTCGGGTTTTTTTTTGCCTGGAGATTGCTAGCACATGTGACGCATTTTTTTTTTTTACTTATGTGACTTCTAGGTGCTGCATGCCATGGGGATCTCACAGAGAAGCTCAAACTCCTGTACAAAATGTTTTTTTTTCCTGGTGAGTGAGCTACATGGAGCAGTACATTTTTTTTTTACCATGACCTGGCTTGAAGTCTCTTTTTTAGTTTTTTTTTGATTGTCCTCTTTTTGCTATACACAGTCATTTTTTTTTTTCTAAGAACTAACGGAACCATGACAATTTCTATTTTTTTTTGAATCAGCATGCACTTGATTGTATGGTCGTTTTTTTTTTTGAAGAGTGAGTTGTGATAACAGAAAAGAGCATTTTTTTTTCTGCAAGAGAAAGAATAAATAGCACTTGGTATTTTTTTTTATACAAGCATTGTGAGAGAGAAAAGGAACGTAGGAACATTGACAGGAACAAGTGGGGAAAACGGTGAGGTTTTTTTTTTTATTTTAAACAAGGTTGGTACCAGCTGGGATCTTTTTTTTTAACACTTTTAAAAATGAGATGAAATTGGCACTTTTTTTTTAGGTAGGATAAAACTAGATTTGGGAATTCTCTTTATAGCATACGGTTTCCTAAAATTTTGTTGATAAAGCGTTTTTTTTTACAACTTGGAAAATTCTCCATTCCACAGAAATTTTTTTTTAACACTTTGGTGTGAGGTTGTTAAAAGGGAATTTTTTTTTACAAAGGGAGTGACCCCTTCCACTAAGGTTTAGAGACAGTAGCCACTCAAGGCCCCCCAGTGATGTGACCACTAAGGTTTAGAGGCAGTAGGCACTCAACACCCCATCCCATTTTTTTTTCTTTAGCTTTTCATCCCCACTTATGTCATTTTTTTTTTTTATTAAGCATACTTTCACTGGTTCATGGCCCTTTTTTTTTTAGAATTATGTTTCCTCCCCTCCCTAGAGCCATCCTCTGATCAAGATGAGCCAGATTCTGCTTTTGAAGCAATTTTTTTTTTCTTTGAAGATATCACCCCAGAGTGTACACATTTTTTTTTACTTTTCTCACCAAAGATACTATATTTGTTTTTTTTTTTTCCCTCCGTTATTGGAAAAAGACTTTCCTCCATTTTTTTTTAATCAAAGACGTATGTAAATATGATTGCCTATTTTTTTTTTTTCCTTTCCAGTTTTTGAGATTAGGCAACTATTGGGCAGCAGGTACCTCGGCCCACTGAAGAAACCATGTTTTTTTTTTCCCAGTAGATTAGGACGCTTGTGTCCTGTAGTTTTTTTTTCTTTGCTGCCCTCTCTCTGCTAGGATCAGCCTTTTTTTTTATATTATCCTGTTAGGCAGCCATCCAGAATTTTTTTTTTTATTTCTGTCAGAAAGCATTCTCTTATATCTGTTTTTTTTTTGTAGCAGAAGTTAGCAAACTATGGGCCGGGGGCCAAATCCAGCCCACCACCTAGTTTTTACAGCCTGTGATTTTTTTTTGGTTTTTTACATTTTTAAATGGTTTTTAAAATTTTTTTTTAAAATATTTTTGCCACATGAAAAGTATATGATTTTTTTTTTTCAGTGCCTATAAATAGTTTTGTTGGAAGATTTTTTTTTTCATTTATATATGTATTGCCTATGGCTGTTTTTTTTTTTTAGAATTGAGTGGCTAAAACAGAGACAGTATGTTTTTTTTTGCTTAAAGTATTCACTGTCTGGTCCTTTACAGAAGACGCATGCTGAACCCTGCTCTCTGTGGACGATAGGTTTTTTTTTTTGTGATTCAACTCATATATGTCTCCAAATTTTTTTTTTTTGTCATATACTGTTTTGTCTTACATTAACCTATTTTTTTTTTTTGGCTTGCTACTGTAGTAAGTTACTCACCTTTTTTTTTATCATTAGGTCAACTTTATCAACTCACCTAATTTTTTTTTTAAATGTAGGTTTCTCCTGGGTTCTTTTACCTCTTAAGTTTTGCCATCCCCAGATAAGCACAAAATAGACCTTTTTTTTTACTGTAAGCACCAAAGTGATTTTTGTAGAGGGAGTAAGCCAGGCTCAGTCTTATGACTGGCAGTACAAGTTTTTTTTTTTAGCTTTGGACAGAACACTAGCTATGTATATTTTTTTTTTTGTGAGTGTAGGGAGGTTCCTATGTGAGCCTCTTTTTTTTTGCGTGGGGAATGCAGATGACAGCTATCATATTTTTTTTTTTTAGGACCTAATAAGATAATGTAATAAGACTTTTTGCATAGTGCCTTAGTGCATCATATGTAGTCTTAATATTTTTTTTTGAAAGTAATGGCAAAAACCGCAATTACTTTTTTTTTTTTTAATATCATTAGCAGTCACATTCTGGCTACAAAATGTTCAGCACACATTTCTTAGTAGACATTCATCTCAGATTTTTTTTTTCTTGTTGTAAAAATGCTTCAGGAATGGTCACATGCCAATAGCGTGTAATATCATTGAAAGATGCTTTTTGTTTTTTTTTTTCCAATGCCAAAAGTACTGTTGCTTTGCGTTTTTTTTTTTAAGATACAGGTAAAATAAGTAAGCCAAAGCTTTTTTTTTATCTTACCATATAAAGATAACTAATAACCTTTTTTTTTTTCAATTTTTTGTTCAAAGTATACACAAATTTTTTTTTTTTTTATATCACTGGAATCAAACTACCTATACAGTTTTTTTTTTTGCTTTTTTTTTTTTACACTTAAAATCCAGTTTTTTTTTTACTTTGTCATTAAAATTTCTTTGAAAACGTGTTTTTTTTTTGGCTATATAGTATCCACTGCATGGACTTACTTTTTTTTTAATATTTTTTAAATATCTACTTGTTTCCTACTTTTTTTTTAACATTGAGAGGGGAGGAATTTCCTGATGCTTTTTTTTTTACTTTCCTCACTGTATCTTAAAAGCTGCTGATTTTTTTTTGACCCATAGTACAGTGAAGGCCACATATCTGTTTTTTTTTCCAGCTTTGGGTGGTTGAAGAAGTGCTGGAATGCACCCTAACAGCCGACAAAGTGCATGGGAAACTGAGGGTTTTTTTTTCCTCCCTGTTTTGAAGTCCCTGTGTGCCCTGTTTTTTTTTGTTTTAAGAAGACAAAACAGTTATAAGTGGGTTTTTTTTTAGTCGCATTTTTGAAGTACCAAATTATAAATTTTTTTTTTTTTTATAGCATATAACATTTTAGCAAAAAAATTTTTTTTTGTCTTCTACCAACATAGATTTTAATTTCCTTTTTTTTTTTAGTTACTGATCTTTTGCAGGGTCTGGCAAAATTTTTTTTTTCTCATATATGCAAAGTTAAATGGTAATGTATTTTTTTTTGGAGAGAAATCAACATTCATGGGGGCAAGCATTTTTTTTTCTTAAGTGCTGAAGTCTATGTGGTATTATCCTTTTTTTTTTTTTTTCGAGATGGAGTTTTGCTCTAGTTGCTTTTTTTTTAGTGCAATGGCACCATCTCGGCCCACTGCAACCTCTGCCTCCTGGGTTTAAGTAATTCTCCTGCCTCAGTTTTTTTTTTTGCTGGGATTACAGGCACATGCTACCATAGCCTTTTTTTTTTTGTATTTTTAGTAGAAACAGGGTTTTACCATTTTTTTTTGGATGGTCTCGAACCCCTGACCTCAAGTGATTTTTTTTTTTCAACCTTCCAAAGTGTTGGGATTACAGGATGAGCCACAGTGGTTGGCCCTCCATTAATTTTTTATTGTACTTTTTTTTTAAGCTGTGAGAAAGAATCCTGCAGAGGTCCTTTTTTTTTTGATAGTGTTGTCAGATAATGGGACATGTAGTAATATTTGAATCTCAGATATAAAATAATTTTCTTAATATATTTTTTTTTCCTCTAATGACAGGGTTACACTTATCCCCGATTTTTTTTTGTTGTTTATCTGAAATCTAAACTTAACTGAATTTTTTTTTTTGTTTTGGGGAGTTTTTTGTTTGTTTGTTTTTTTTTTTTGGCAACCCTACCTAGAGAGTCTTCTATTTTCTTTTTTTTTTGCTAATTCCATGGCCATATTATATAACATTTTTTTTTTTTCTTCTGAACTATTTCTTGGTAGTTGTTGGATTTTTTTTTAGAAGCAAACAGGGTGCAGATGATGGCTTCGTTTTTTTTTGCCTAAAGCCGGACAAAGGTACGGATGTTCTTTTTTTTTTGTTTACCTTCTTGCTGGTTGTACACTTGTTTTTTTTTTTTTAAGCACTGACTTCTTGACATTTGGGTTGTATTTTTTTTTGCAAATTCCCAAGAAAATCGTAATTATTTGATTTTTTTTTCTCCAGAAAATAAATCTAAGTCAAAGAATGCTTTTTTTTTACCCAAATTAAATCAGGTAAGTGCTTAAAGTTTTTTTTTTTCACTTCAAACCTGGTCGCTCTTTTTTCTATTTTTTTTTTGTCATCCATAAATGTGGACTCAATGCCCCTCTTTTTTTTTAACTTTGGGGCAGTTAATTAGTATCTGTTTGTTTTTTTTTTGTGCATATGTATTTACGCATCAAAAATATGTTTTTTTTTAAGAGAATGACTTCCTCAGAGGAAATGTGAACCACAACATATTCCATTTGAGAGTAAACGCATCTTATTCCTTTTTTTTTAAATACCCTCAGATACTCAAAAGACAAGCACTTTTTTTTTTCAGATCACTGTGCTTAGCTATAAAGGTGTCTTTTTTTTTTCCTTAAAACCTGGTGAAATGAGGAAGAAAATTTTTTTTTAAATAATTATAGGCTGAAAATGCTAAGTTTTGTAATCAGAGAACAGAAATCATCTGGGTGGAGACTGAAAGTTTTTTTTTATTACTTCTGTCCGGGGAGATGGGGCATGTGTCATGGGAGGAGGGATTGGAGCTTACCTTAGAAAAATTGATTTTTTTTTTAAAGTGTGTAGACGTGAAAAGAGATGAGTCTTTTTTTTTCTTAAGATGTTTCAAAAGGAAAAAGAGAACATTTTTTTTTTTACTGAGACAAATGTATGACATAGTCCTCCTTGACTCTAGGTGAGCTGTACATGGATGTTTACTTTTTCATTTTTTTTTTCATAGATGTTTGAAATTTTTCAAATTAAAATTTTTTTTTAATAAACTGGGTGTGGTGGCTCACGCCTGTATTTTTTTTTCTTTGGGAGGCCAAGGCAGGAGGATCACTTATTTTTTTTTTACAAGACCAGCCTGGGTAAAATGGCAAAACTTTTTTTTTACAAAAAATGCAAAGATTAGCGGAGCATAGGTTTTTTTTTGAGGATCACGTGAGCCCAGGAGGTTGAAGCTTTTTTTTTTCGTGATTGCACCACTGTACTCCAGCCTGGGCTTTTTTTTTAGACCCTGTCTCAAAAAGAAATAAAAATTAATTTTTTTTTATGGAAACATCAATAAGAGACTTTAAACATGTTTTTTTTTCCTAGGCAGAGGACTTTCTAGGGATCTTTAGTTTTTTTTTTGTAAATGGCTTTTCAGTCCACTTCAGTCCTGCCTCTCTGCTCCCTGAAGAGTTCACATTGTGTTTTTCCATTTTTTTTTTCAGGGGCAGTTCATTGAACTGTGTAAGACATTTTTTTTTATGTTCAGCGAAGACCCCAATGAGCAGGAGCTTTTTTTTTCCACGGCAGCTGTGACCAGCCTCCTGCTGGATTTTTTTTTGGTCGGCAAGCTGTTCGTGGCCCAGCCTGCAAAGGAGGGCGGGAGCGGAGGCAGTGGGCCGTCCTGCCACCTTTTTTTTTCAGGCGTGCTCTTCCCCAAGAAGGGGCCGGGTTTTTTTTTTGTGGTAGAGTCTGTTGAGCCCCTGCCAGCCTTTTTTTTTCCCGACAGCGAGGAACACTCCCTGGGAGGACTTTTTTTTTACATCAAACTGGAGGACTCCTCGCCCCGGGACAACGGGGCCTGCTCCTCCATGCTGATCTCTGACGATGACTTTTTTTTTGACAGCTCCATGTCCTCGTACTCGGTGCTGATTTTTTTTTCCCACGAGGAGGACAAGCTGCACTGCGAGGACATCGGAGAGGACACGGTCCTGGTGCGGAGCGGCCAGGGCTTTTTTTTTCTGCCCCGGAGCACCAGCCTGGACCGGGACTTTTTTTTTTCCTTCGAGCAATTCCTGGCCTCCCTCTTAACTTTTTTTTTCCTGGTCAAGTACTTTGACAAGCCCGTGTGCTTTTTTTTTAGGATTACCAGTGCAAAAAACATCCGGATGATTTTTTTTTCCCTCACCTCGGCCAGTGACTATGAAATCTCTTTTTTTTTCGGCTGACACGGGCGCCTTCCTGGGGGAGTGTTTTTTTTTGGAGGGGAGGGACTTTTTTATGTTCTTCTGTTTTTTTTTTTTCTTTCTTTCTTTTAAATTAAATATTTATTTTTTTTTTTCTTGAAGCCTAGTGTTTTCATAATGTAATACTTTTTTTTTTGTTGGAGAAATATTTAAACACCTCAATGTATTTTTTTTTCACTCTTGTTTCGGGGAGGGGATTTACCAGAATACAGTTTATTTAGTGAATTCTAAAAAACAAAAAGATGATTTTTTTTTTGATATGTGTGTATTATAACTTATTAATCTTTTTTTTTTTCTGTATACATGGTTTAAAAAATAGTACCGTTTAATGCTAAGTAAGGCAGCAGTCATTTGTGTATTCAGGCTTTTTTTTTTAAATTAGAGCTATAAGGAAAATGAAAAGCCACAAATACAAGACTGTTCTTAAATGGAAGGCATCGTCAGTGTTTTTTTTTCCTACACCACTTTAGGAAGTATTAAAAATATTTTTTTTTTTGAAATATATTTCATAAAAGTCCTCTATTCATTTTTTTTTTCCACAGATGTTCCCCTTCAAAGGGAAAACATTTTTTTTTCTAAACAGTTATGAAAGTAAGTGATTTTTACTTTTTTTTTGAATAACACTTGTATTTGATCAATTTAGACAGATACCAGACCAATTTTGCATTTAAGAAATTGTTCTGATTTTTTTTTTTAACTCATTGGAATTCAGTGAAAAGTAACAGTTTTTTTTTTCAGAGAATCTGAAAGTAGCAGCAAAGACAGATTTTTTTTTACAGGTTTTGGCTTTTGCTTTGCTTTTGTTTTTTTTTTTTTAAAAGTACTGATGCTTCTGATACTGGATGGTTAGCTTCTTACTGCAAAAAGAAAGCATAAGTAAAACAGTTTTTTTTTTCATTTCCGTATTCTCCATAGATTGAAGAAATTTTTTTTTTATATCGCATATGACCATCTTTCCATTAAATCTTTTTTTTTATAATGTAAACTGAAAAAAATCTGCAAGATATTTTTTTTTAATGTTTTAAAAACAGAACTTGTCACTTTATTTTTTTTTTTAGTATGCTCTATTTCCTGAATGGATGTGGATTTTTTTTTTAGCGCACCTGCACTTTGAATTATTGCTTCTTTTTTATTACTGTTATGATTTTGCTTTTTACAGATGTTGGTTTTTTTTTTCTTCCAATTGTTGAATTCGTAATCATGGTCTTTTTTTTTTTGCTTCTTTGGAATGTTCCTTTCAACACATTCCTTTATTTTATTATACATTGTGTCCCTGTTTTAGCTATTTTTTTTTTTTTTTATTCTGTTTACAGGATGATTTTTAAATTTTTTTTTGAAGTAGTGCTAACCTCAGATAGGCTAAATGTTTTTTTTTAAAATACATCAAATACTCAGATACAGCTTTTTTTTTTTTTGTTTGAGTTCCTACCTAAGGCAATAACATTATTTTTTTTTCAACTTTTGCAGGGGAAATTGTATTTGGCAACCATTTTGATTAAATAAATTTTGTAGGCAAACATATAGAGTTTTTTTTTATTTGTAGTATATCAATGACTATATTTAAAATTTTTTTTTTAATTGTTATTAGTTATCTAACTTAAAATGCTTTTTTTTTATGATCAGTGATATTGAGCTTTTTAAAATATTTTTTTTTTTTGCATGTCTGTCTTCAAAACCACAATGAGATTTTTTTTTACACCAGTCAAAATGGCTATCATTAAAAAGTTTTTTTTTTACAGATGTTGACAAGGTTGCAAAGAAAACAATTTTTTTTTACTGTTGGTGGGAGTGTACATTAGTTCAACCTTTTTTTTTAGCAATGTGGCAATTTTTGAAAGAGCTAAAATTTTTTTTTATTCGACCCAGCAATGCCATTACTGGGAATATTTTTTTTTCAGTATAAATCATTCTGCTATAAGGACACATTTTTTTTTTTGTTCATTACAGCAGTGTTCACAATGGCAAATTTTTTTTTTCAGTCTAAATGCCCATCAATGACAAATTGATTTTTTTTTATGTGGTACATATACACCACAGAATACTATGTTTTTTTTTAAAACAAGATCATGTATTTTATGGGAACATGTTTTTTTTTGGAGGCCATTATCCTTAGCAAACTAATGCAGGAACAGAAAACCAAATACCACATGTTCTCACTTGTAAGTGTTTTTTTTTTGATGAGAACACATGGACACAGAGAAGGGAATTTTTTTTTCTGAGCCCTCCTTGATGGTGGAGGGTGGAGGTTTTTTTTTGAGAGAGGAGCAGAAAGAGATAACTATTGGTTAATAGGCTTAGTACCTGGGTGACAAAATAATCTGTACAATTTTTTTTTATGACACTAGTTTACCTATATAACAAACCTTTTTTTTTTTCCCTCAACCTAAAATAAAAGTTAACAAAAAATTTTTTTTTATTCTACATAAGTAATAACAGTGAAAATTCCTTTTTTTTTTCCTTAATAGCATGCTATAATGCTATTTGGTTTTTTTTTTTAGCTAGTCATTTATTGGACTCTGATTGTTATTTTTTTTTCGATGTGTTTTTACCTTTGAGGTCTTAAATATTTTTTTTTGAAATAACTGCAAAATCTAATACTCTCGCCCATCTGTACTTTGCCAAAATCAAAGATAGGATTGAGTGGGATTTTTTTTTGTGTTTAAATGTGTAGCCCTGGATAAAGAAGAGGAGCCAGCATTTTCCATTATCATTAAGAAAGAGACAGTTTTTTTTTTGCAAGTCCCTCTGAAAGCCTATGTCTCTATTTTTTTTTTTAGATTTCTGTTGCAGTCTTGTCCTTATTCGTTTTTTTTTTTTATAGTGCTTTTCATCACAGCAGCAATATATTTTTTTTTGGCAGGTTTTAGTCTATGTTTACTTCTAAAGTTTTTTTTTGGAGGAGCCTGAACCCTTGAGTTGAAATTTCTTTTTTTTTCTATGAGACAAATACGCTCATCAGCTCATTGGCTACATCAGTAGAACACCCTGGGGGAATCATTTTGTCCTTTTTTTTTTGAAGGCAGGTGATACATTTCTAGTTGTTCATTTTTTTTTTACGTACTTTTTGTGTCTCCATGGATTATTCTTTTTTTTTTCAACTTGTGATTCACCATCTTCTCTGTTTTTTTTTTTTTTGGGGGGGAGGGTGTTTGTTTTGTGGGGTTTTTTTTTTTTTTTTGTTTTTTGTTTTTGTTTTTGTTTTTGAGTTTTTTTTTTGCTTTTGTCACCCAGGCTGGAGTGTGATGGTTTTTTTTTTGCTCACTGCAACTTCTACCTCTGGGTTCAATTTTTTTTTCTGCCTCAGCCTCTGAGTAGCTGGGATTACATTTTTTTTTCACCATGCCCAGCTGATTTTTGTATTTTTAGTTTTTTTTTGTATCTCACCATGTTGGCCAGGCTGGTCTCATTTTTTTTTCCTCAAGTGATCCACCCACCTTGGCCTCTCATTTTTTTTTGATTACAGACATGAGCCACCGCGCCCGGCCTTTTTTTTTTTCTCTGGCCACTTTACCCCCAGCTCTGTCAGTTTTTTTTTTGCTAATATGATAATGATGACACCAGTGCAGTTTTTTTTTTCAGTGTCTATATCCCAGTGAGGTTCCTGCTTTTTTTTTTTGGGTCCTGGCCTCAATGGAGCTTTCACATATTTTTTTTTAAAAGAGAAAGCTACTGCTACAGAAAAGGAATTTTTTTTTCCATGCAGAGTGTGGATGCAGGGAAGGGGTGATGCTAGAGAAACCACAGATCTAAGGCTATCACTGCTTCATTTTTTTTTCGAAGCTGATTGTAGAGAGGAGCAGGATAAGTTTTTTTTTAGTACCACAAAGAGAGCCACGGGCAATAAGGTTTTTTTTTTTCCAACAGCATCCTCACCCCCACCAAGGTGGTGCAGGCCGAGTACCCTGGCTTCTGGGCACAGGGCAAATTTTTTTTTTTGCCCTCTTCAGGGCAAACCTCTTTAGGAAGTTTTTTTTTGCTTCTCCTCCTCACTTTCCTGGCCACAGAGTTTTTTTTTGAACCTCCTAATCTCGATAGAGTAACCTTGGTTTTTTTTTCAGCTGAAGCTTTGTCTAGGAACCTGAACTTAAAGAGATTCTGCTTCTTGAGCCTAGCAGGGAAACTGAAGTTTTTTTTTTGGCAGCTGCTTTATTTCCACTTCCGGTTAATTTTTTTTTTGGTTGTGTTTCATCATTACCCATCCTGTTATTTTTTTTTTTTGTTATAGATTCAACTTCTAACCTGAAAATTTTTTTTTCTGATGTGTGGAGTAGAAAGCATTTCATACTTTTTTTTTTCTTTAAAATGATTCCTTTCCATAATGTTTAGTTTTTTTTTCCTTTTGTTTAACGTGCTCTTGACAGTCTAATTTTTTTTTAGGAAAGCATAGGAGTCAGACAAGGGAGTTTTTTTTTTTTCACAAGTGAGTAGAGCAGGCTAAGACTAGGATTTTTTTTTTGTGGGGCAGATGGCAGAGGGCCCACCTGTATTTTTTTTTGGCTTCCTGGGTTCATAACTACTTCCTCCCCTCACTCTTCACAGAGAAACCAGAAGAACTCTGCAAAGCTATTTTTTTTTGCTCTTAGAATACCTAAAGGAGAAAGTATCATTTTTTTTTATGGCACCTCCTAGGATTGGCCTGGAAATAATTTTTTTTTTCCTAGAATAGGTCTGGTGAATTCATTCATTTTTTTTTTTTTGACCACCTACTATGTGAGATATTGTTTTATTTTTTTTTAGTACAGCAGCAAATGACAATGACCAAAAACTTTTTTTTTCCTTAAGGGAAATTCTATTTTAATAAGGGAGTTTTTTTTTAAGCAAGGTAAGTACCATATCTGTTATGTTATTTTTTTTTGCAATAAAACAAACACAGCAGGGAACCACGGTTTTTTTTTCTGGGCTTGGGAAGGTGGTGAAATTTTAGATGGGGTGATTTGTGAAGACCTTTCATAGAAGATGACTGTTTTTTTTTTTTCGAAGGA